GCTTGTTTAAGTCCATATATTGACTTCTTCAGTTCACGCACCATTTGACCTTTTTCTTTAGTTTCGAAACCCTCTGGTTGGTTCATATACACTTCCTCCTCGAGATCTCCATTAAGAAAGGCAGTTTTCACATCCACTTAGTGTAACTCTAAATCATAATGAGCCACCAAAGCCATGATAATTCTTAACGAGTCTTTCTTTGAGACCGGTGAAAAGGTCTATTTATAATCAATGCCTCCTTTCTGAGTATAACCCTTGGCAACAAGTCTAGCTTTGTATCTCTCAATATTGCCATTTGAATCGTGTTTGGTCTTAAAGACCCATCTACACCCGATTCTTTTAGAACTTTCTGGCAATTCAACAAGATCCCAGACTTTATTGTATTTCATGGATTTTAACTATTCCTTCATGGCATCAATCCATTTGTCAGACTCATTACTTTCTATGGCTTGTGAAAATGAAATCGAATCCTTACTAAAACCAATGTCAAAATCTGACTCTTGCAAATAAACCACGTAATCATCCGAAATAGCCGATTTTCTAACTCTTTGAGATTTTCTTAATGGCATTTCTTGTGGTTCATTTGTGTTAGATATTTGTAAGTTAGTTTCTTCATGAAGTGTTTCATCCAAATGTTGCTCGGTATTGTCAAAGTGTTCTTCAACAACTGGAACAATATTTGGTATTTGTGTGGAAGTAGGCACATTTCTGGGTAATAGAATATTGACCCTCACCTCTTTAATTTCCACAATTTGCTTTTCAACACTCCCACTAACTTCACAATTCTCAATGAATCTTGCATTACCGGTTTCAACAATTCTCGAACTACGGTTTGGACAGTAAAACACATACCCTTTAGATTTCTCTGGGTAACCAATAAAGTAACCACTTACTGTTCGAGAATCTAATTTCTTTTCTTGTAGATTATAAACTCTAGCTTCCGCTGGGCAACCCCAAACATGCAGGTGCCTTAAACTAGGTTTTTTCTTGTCCATAGTTCAAAAGGGGTCTATGGAACTGCCTTACTAGGAACCCTATTTAATAAATACACTGCGATTTTAAGAGGAAACATCCACAATAATTTGGGTAATGAGAATTACTTATCATGCTCCTAACTATGTCCATAAGTATTCGATTACACCTTTTTGCAAAACCATTTTGTTGATGTGTTCCTGGCATAGTATACTGTGCACATATGCCACGTTCCTCGAGGAACATTGCAAATGGACCTGGACATTGTCCTGACTCATTATATTTTCCATAATATTCACCACCTCTATCTGACCTAATGATTTTCACCTTTTTATCCAATTGCCTTTCAACCTCATTAACAAACACCTTGAGAGCATCTGCTGCTTGAGATTTTTCTTTCAGCAAATAGATGTATCCATAACGTGAAAAATCATCGATAAAAGTGATAAAATATTTCTCTCCACCAAAAGATGGAACATCAAAAGGTCCACAAATATCGGTGTGTATAATTTCAAGAAGTTGGGTGCTTCTTGTGGCACCTTTCTTACTATGCTTGGTTTGCTTTCCCTTAATGCAATCCAAACATATAGCAAGATCAGTAAAATTTAGATTCGGAAGAATCTCATTCTTTACTAATCTTTCTAACCTTTCTTTGGATATATGACCCAAACGTCTATGCCACAAGTAAGCAGAACTTTCATCTAGTGAACTACGTTTAATTCCAACATTATGTTGAATAGAAAAAAGGGATTCAGAAAACCAATATCGAGTTTCAATTTATATAAACCATCACTAAGAAAACCAGAACAATAAAAAATAGCATTCTTATATAAATTGAAACATCCATTTCCAAACTTTAAATCAAATCCAAAAACATCAAGTCTTCAAAGAGAAATCAAATTCCTAGAAACTGAAGGTACATAAAGAGTCTGTAATAGATCAAAGTGACGTCCAGTCTCCATGATCAAATGATAAGTCCTTATGCCTTCAATTGGAGCCTTCATACGATTTCCCATGAACAAGAAATCCTTATTTGGATTTGTAGTTTGGATCATAAGGACTCCCTGTAACGTAGTAGATACATGAGCGGTTGCACCAGAATCAAGCCACTAAGTATTATTAGGAACTTCTACTAAATTTGATTCGAAACATATAAAAGCACTAATTGTACCTTTCTTTTCGAACCAAGCTTTACGTTTCAGGAAATCTTTCTGATAGTGTCCTTCTTTATTACAGAAACGACACGTATTTGCCTTATGTTCCCTGTTAGCATCCTGTTGAGCTTTAGCAGGTGCTTTCTTCTTCTTGAACTTGTTGGCCCTCACTTTAAGTCATTTACCAGCTCCTCGGCCCATGAGGTTGATTGAATGACTCCCTTGTTTCTTAAGTCTTGACTCCTCCTAAGTAAGTATACTAAACAATTCACTAACATTCCACTTATCCTTAATAGTGTTATAGTTAATTTGAAAAGGTTCATACTCAGGAGGTAACGAGTTCAGAATAAACTGAACCAAGAAGGAGTCATCCACTTTCATCTCCAAGGTTTGAAGTCTTGCTGCAATGTTAGTCATCTCGATGATATGGTTTTGCATACTACGCGACCCATCAAACTTCATGGTCGTGAGTTCAGCCATTAGTGTACTAGCGAGAGACTTATCTGCAAAACGAAAACGTTCTTCCACAAACTTCAGGTATTCCCTGGCACTTTTTGTTTGTGGAATAGTACTCTTAATGTTGTTGGCAATATTCATTCGCATAAACATAAGGCTTAGCCTGTTAGAGCGCTCTCATGCTTTATGGAAAGACTTCTCATCCGCACTGCTTGCATCAGTAATGGCAGCGGGCTTATCATTCAGCAGAACCAAGTCAATATCCATCACACCTAAGTGGAACTGGACTTGTTCACGCCATTCAGAGAAGTTCAATCCATTGTACACAGTAACAGACGAAGCAAGCAAATAAAAAGGAATAATTGCAAAATAGATAATACATACTCACAAATCAATATGGATTCAACAAAATAGTTAAAGCATATCGCAATTCTCCTTTGGGTAAATACTACGACACACTATCATAATTTAAATGTCATTTAGTCTTTAATAGATAATTAAATATTTTTAACCAAATATATATGTCATCTTTGGACAGACAATATACATTTGACTAAGAATATTAATTTACCTCATCATATTCACTATTCATGAATATTTGATTTACCTTTGGATAAATCCTTAAGTTTTAGCAATAATGAAAATTAATTTATCCACTAATTTTTAATTACAGGCATTTCATTAATTTCATGGATAAACTATAATTTTATGTATGCGTAATTTCTTAAACATATTAGTTTGGCCACTTTGGCGACTAACAAACTAGATGAACATAATTGCACACATAAAATAAATATCAGAATATTTTATGCATGTGAATATTTTAGACATTCTAGTTTGATCATTTTGGTGACTAATAAACTATATGAGCACTAATATATGCATAAAATAAACATAAATTTGATGTATGTATAAATATTAAACAGTCTAGTTTGATCACTTTGGTGATTAATAAACTATACAATTTTAAGGCACATACATCAATTATTATACAATACCAGAATCACAATCAATACCATGAAGGATTTACGTGCAATTACTCCGTTTCAAAACTTTTAGGAATAAAATATTATCACTGAAGTGGTCCAAAATATATTAAGATTGCATGTGTCCATAAAGTGAAATCGCAAGTCATCTTTATTTAAAAATCACTTTACAACTTGTATGGATGGTTGTTACCTGTTGTATTGTATTGTATCGTTACTTTAAATACAATGTTTGTTTTGATTATAACTTAAATTTTATTCTATCGTATCGTTTAAATCCGTCGTTACGTAACGACGAAAAGTGCCACTTTATGGAACGACCGATTTGGTGTGGTTGCGTTGTTTTCTTATTTTTTTAATCTCATCTTGCCCTTTTTTATTATTCAATAATCCTATTTTATCCTTTACCTTACCTTTTTATATAATAATATTATCTCGTACCTTACTTTTTCTTTATAATGTTGTAAGTTTATTCTTCATACTGTCGATACATGACATTATAAAACGAGGCCAAACAATACAATCTATCCAAACATTGTATACATTAAAACGATACAGTACAATACAATACAATACGATACGATACATTATGAAACAATGTATAACAACCATCCAAACAAGCTGTTAGTAGGCCAATGTGTTGGGGAAAAAAGATGTTGCTACATGTAAACATACGATTTATGCCTAATTTACATTTATAATTCCACAAAAGCACAAAACTTCAAAGGTTGACGTTCTCGAAAAGTAGAGACCAAACTCTTTCATAATTTTTGTCAATTACTCCCTCTTTCTAATTGCTGCATAATCTTAAAAGTAATTAAAAAATTAGAGTTCAGCATTATTTTTCACAAACAGAATTTAACGATCATGATAATTTATTTAAACTATGATTCATAATTGCCGAAGGCAGCACATAATGTCTAAACAACTACGCATTCATAATTAGTTGTGACGAAGATTATCTATTCAAGCAATCCAGGCTCTGATACCACATGTAAGCATAAACTATAATTCTACCAGGATCTTGAACATGATAATCTTACATGTAATCGTCATAGAAAACATACCTGAAGCGGAATCCATTATCTTGAAGCGGAAGCGTTAATCGGTAAATTGGTTTCTCGCCCCTTGCCCTAGCTTTCGTTACCACCGCCTTTAGTGATGGAAGAAAGAAAATAAAATACGGTAACCCTAATGGGTGGGGAGAGGCCCAATTTATAGAGGTTCTCACTTAATCTGGTACGTCCATCAAGTAACCAATCGGACTGATGAGATTTGATAATTAATTAAATATTAATTATAAGCCTTAAACCTATTGGGCCACCTACACGTAAGAAAAATAACTTACAATTCATCCATTCATTCATTGTGATTTTCAAAAATGGGAAAAGAAAAAGTAGCCTTGCACGCATGGGAGATTTGGGTTCAATGGTAAAAGGATAAACCAGAAGCATGACATTCACAATGAGATTGTACATTTTGGCGTCATAGGTTTTCAAAATTTTCTCTCAGGTGTCTAATAGTATTGAAATTCTGTGCTAAACACCCAAGCTCTAAAGGGATAGGAGCAGTAATTAACCAAGTCATTCTCCAAACTCCCGCTTTGCTTAAGTAAGACTGGGACTCTGTATGAGGACCTCCTTTTCTTCCGCCCACTCTTTGTTCACATAGTTCTCAAAACATAGGCCAAATTGACTTCCTTACAAGAACTTCCAAATGGAAAGAGAATGAATTGGTGTTCCTTTCCACCCAATAATTAGGCCTTTCCCATCCTTGTGAATATTACAACAACTGCCTTGTGCAAATTGCTTGAGAATTAAATTAGCTTGATACCAAGCTGACTCACTTAGCTCTTCTTCCACCATACCAAACCTTGCAAAAAATGCTCTCCACACTTCAAGTTTCACATTCCTGGTGAATCTTTCTTTACCCTCAGCAGCCACAATGTTCCGAATACCTTCACCAAAATACAACCCTTCAATCGTTCTTCGGCATGGACTGTCTCGATCCATGCAGTCCTCAAAGCAATCGAAAAATGCACCATAAAAGAATAGTGTCTCAATAAAGCGGTTTAAAAATGATGGTGAATTATGGTTTGCTTCGACTTCGCCAATGACAATAACTGTTGGTCCAATACTTCTGACTCCTTTCATCAAATTTTCCAAACAATCTGGTTTTGGTATCATTGTCCTTAAAACAGTGTTACAATAAACAGCCACAGTCTCATCTGCTTCAATATTGACTGATTCTTTCTTGAAATCTTTCATGTCTGACAGGAAAACTATATCAAATGAAAATGACAGACCCAAAGACGTGGCGAAACTGTGTAATGTGTTGCCTGTTACTTCAAACTTCTCTTTTTCTGTGCTTCCAACAGCAGTTATCTTGAGAAGCTCAATTGGGCACTCACTTTTTTCAGCAAGAGCTTGCATCAAGACTGTCCACTGAATTCCACTCCTAATATTAAAATCGATCAAATGGATCTTTTTCGCACTTCTGACATTGTCAAGTATTGTTTGAACTCCCGCAAATTGCATCACTTGACTGAAGGGAAGTAGTTGGTGGCACGTCAAGAATGCAGAGTTGGTACCTAATGCCATAGTTTTTATGTACTTGAGGTGGCGATCTTCATCCGTACATGTGTATTTTCCGGTTGATCTATCAATCCTCTCCTCTAAAGCTTTAGCAAAATAGAAAGAAAGTCTTTGGACAGGACTACCTGATTCAGATGCCACCCACACACAACGAGAAATCAATTTTCTAGCCAGATGAAATTGCTGGTTATTTACTTCTTCTGCTGCAGCTAGGAGGAGGTGGACAAGTTCCATGTCCCTTGTTTCCTCTATACTAAGTCCTGAGAGTGCCGAACCATAAGGGTATATAAACATAGAAAGACCGTCTAGCCTTTGGGTGGAGTACCGGATGTACCTGTTGAGACACAATATAATTAAGTAATTAAAAGTACGCTTTGTCTAACATTTTTAACTTTTAAATGAGATAGTCAAACACTTTAAAGTGATATCAGAGGTCGTCTAACATCTTAAACTTTTTGATGAGATGGTCACACAATACCTTTCTCCGGCAACCAAAAGGATTTCTTCTGTTGACAACTTGTTGTTGTTACATGCACGAGCCTCATAGCTTAGTGCATTATAAATGCTCGAGTTTTCCTCTCTCGATTTCTTGATCAGTCTGCCATAATTGTTCAGTAGCTCAAAAGATGCTAAAGAAAACGGATTTGATTTTTCATTGCTAGAGTTGCCAATAAGTTGTAGGACTTGAGGCTGGAAATCATCATTCTTTGGTGCTTCAATACTGGATTTGATTTGATCTGTGTTGGTGGAGAAATAACCCTGCATCCAATTTGATATACTTTGTTTCTGATCTTCCAATAAGTTGGTTGTAACTTGTTCATTAGATGTATTCTCTTCATTGTTAAGGTCACACATGGAATAAACAGAATCAATATCTGCACAATCTTCAAGTTCAAACCAAGGATCTTCGACCACTAATTCATTTCTCTCATATGCTTTAAGATGAAAGTGACCACCCTGGAAATCACTAAAATTATCATTTGAGATTGAGACATTAGCCATTGTCCCAATTCCAACTGCAAATTAGTGGTAGCCTCAACAAGCAGGCACCTTGAGTGTGTGTTTATGGTTTAGACTTTAGAGTCTGAAATCAACACCATGTAACCTGCTTAGATACTGACTGTATAGATTTTTTTATGGGTATTATGAATTGACATGCATTTGATTAGTGGTAAATATAGCAAATTAAGTTTAAAATATTGGTGCGATATGATGTTTACATGGCACGGACACACAGAAGAGCCAAGGTGGAAGACTATATTCCAAACAGACTCCTATGGTTTTTATCTTTCAAGAAACTTCGCCAGATCATGGCCTTCAGATGTAACTGATTAATTAAGGAATATATGCATGTGTGGACAAGATGAACAAGACAATTAGAAACTGATAAGAGCATAATGACAATTGAGTGATTGACATGTTTGGAATGTAAAATATGAATCGCAAACAATATATAATTAGCCTCTTACAACGTTTGTGTATTGGGCAGGAAACCAAATAGCACGGGCTGACCAGTTTTCGGACTGATAATTGAAAAATAGCTAGCGTTTGTGAAGTCAATGAAAAATAGCCAATATTTTGTTAAAACACGGAAAATTCCAACATAATATGCGGGATTATGGAGCTCCTGCATATAAACTTCCAACATATTATGATGGAACTCCAACACATTATAAAATTCCAGCATATTATACTGGAAGCTCATATGTAAAAAATTCGAACTCCAGCATATTATGCTGGGATTTTTAATGGTATTTTTGTTCAGATTTTAATTTTACATGAAAAATGGATAAATTTCAATTACTTTTGAAATTATGGCTATTTTTTAATTACCAATTGTAAATTTGGCTATTTTGAATTTCACTCGGAAACCAATCTATTGGGCCAGGAAAATAAAAGGAAACCAATTTACAAATGGATACATACATATTAAGGGCATTTGCATCTATACCCGTTTTTGTGTCACGTTTTAACTTGTGCCCGCTTTGTAAAAAAATTACAAGCGTACCCGCTTTTTCGCATAACTTCAGCATACGGGGCTGAAGTAACAAAGGCAATCACGCAAAACTTCAGCATTCTAGTAGTCGGACCTGAAGTTCTGCTCTAGAGCTGAAGTTTTTGTTTTGTAACTGGCGAATAGAGCTGAAGTTTTTATTTTGTAACTGGCGAACTTCAGCTCTAGAGCTGAAGTTTTTGTTTTGTAACTGGCGAATAGAGCTGAAGTTTTTATTTTGTAACTGGCGAACTTCAGCTCTAGAGCTGAAGTTTTTGTTTTGTAACTCACGAATTGTAACTGGCGAAGCTGAAGTTTTTGTTTTTTGTAACTGACGAATTTCAGCTCTAGAGCTAAAGTTTTTGTTTTATAACTGGCGAACTTCAGCTCTAGAGCTGAAATTTTTGTTTTTGTAATTGGCGAACTTCAGCTCTAGAGCTGAAGTTTTTGTTTTGTAACTCGCGCTCTAGAGCTGAAGTTTTTGTTTTTGTAACTGGTGAACTTCAGCTCTAGAGCAAAGACTGGGTTAAAATCTCATCCTCTCTTCTACTAGAATTAGTCGTAATTTTAAGTAGGCAACTTAATTAAGCCAGAAATTGTTCTTTTACATAGTTTGACATCGATCATCAACATACTTTAGGAAAAGAACAGTATTGGTGTCGAATGTTCTCGGAGAGGCAACGTTCGAGGAAGGCAGTATATACTTTATTACGAATTAAAAACAAAACATAAAGATGCACTTCACATAACAATGTGATTACTCAAAAATAGTCTGATAGTCTTGTGTTTTTATTTTTACATAAGAACAATTGCGCTCCCTACTTTTCAATTTTATAGCCCATATTTATGGCAATCATCCGATGAACTGAAGTTTCATAGCAGCACCAGAAGAAAGAAGAAGAAGAAGAAGAAGAAGAAGAAGAAGAAGGAGGAGGAGGAGGAGGAGGAGGAGAAGAAGAAGAAGGAGGAGGAGAAGAAGGAGCAGGAGAAGATGAAGGAGGAGGAGAAATGGGGCTGAAGTTATTTAAAAAGTGGGTACAAGTTAAAAAAATTTAAAAAAATGAATATAGGTTAAATGTGGGCGACCAAATAGAACGTCCGGCGCAATTTTTACCTTTCTCATTTGCATCGTTATCGCACATCATTTTAGCAGCACTTTGATTTCTTCGCTTCAATAAATGGACTGATTATGATCATTTTTGTCTTGCTATATCGCCATCATGTTTGGTTTAGACATCGAATAATTCACCAAGTAGTTAAGATTTAGGTATCCCATATTGCTTTTGAAGTACATGATGTTATCATAATTTAAAGCGTTTGTTTTTGTTTGTTCAATTGCATTAGACAAAACGATCTCTAACAACTTAATTAGCTTCACGAAAGAGTGTAACGTCTTATTTTTACGGGTTTATGTATAAAAGTTAAACTCAAAAAAAATAATGACATTCACGTTGTTAACACTAAAAAAATAAAATGTGCAACATCCTACAACAAATTAAAATGCTACTAATAATACATCAATAGTGTAAAATACTTTACGCTATTAATCTATACAAATTTTTCGATGTTGCTGTGCATCTTTCCCGAGGAAAAAAAAGTGAATCTGCGTTTACAAATTAGGCAAAAGAAAAAAGAGTTTCCCTCTCAATCAACGTTCGTAATTGAGCGTCGTTATTGATGAACAAATATTCAATTCTTTTTAACAAAAATTAAAAAACAGAGCAAAAGAATGTCAGATTCAGACTTTTTCATCATTTCTCACAGAATCGCCGGCAGTAATGTCTGTGTCAACAACTCTTCTACCAAACATTACGTAAACTACCCAAATGAGACCTTTCACCACTTTGATCAAACCAATTGTAACAGTTAAATAATACAACCACCAACCAACAAAATCAACCAATCCAATACTAATCAAAAGGTCTCTTTTTTTCTCCACCACCACAACTAAAGATTCTACTTCATCCCTCAATCTCCACCACCACAACCCACCAAAACCCATTGCCAATGCTACCTTTTCAGCCAATCTATTTTCCCTTGCAACACCAAAAACTGTGTCATCTACCACTGGCTTCACCACTGTTTTGGACCAAAAAAACATTGTCTCATGTAACCCCAAGAAAAATATAGCTCTTGTCAAGAATCCCCTTTGGTTACCAAGATCATGGCCATCTGCCCCAGCAGCTATGCTACCTGTTGCAATATAAACTAAGCTCCTCATTAAAAGATGGAAGATCTGGTCAACATAAACGGGATCTTTACACAAATAGCTCACCAGATTTACGTATTTACTTATCCGAGTCAGTACTATATGGATTATACACGTATTATACATGAATTATGTATGGAGATAGCAATTTCACCTAGTGACATAGATATATTTCCAACATTACCTTCAATGCCCAAGCCAACACAAATTTGCAATATGCAAAGGAAAATCCACGCAGTGTAAAGTCGCGGTCTTGAAACTGGCTCGGAGGTACGCCTGATAAAGCACGAGGTACCACCAGTCAAGCTATGGGTAAGTGCAGCAACGCTGATAAGAGAAACAAGTATATGGAGAAAAGTAGGATTGGCATGAAGGAAGAATTTGATTAGGAAATCAGAATCTGTTTCTGTTGTGGAATAGCCAAAAAGGTCAATGAGATAATGTGCAATTGAGAGCCTAGAAAGTATGAGAAATGAGAGAGGAAATAAAAGGCTAAGGAGAATAGTTGTAAAAAATTGAAATGGCTCTCTCAACAAATTGGCAGTAGAATCCATAAGAGAAACTAATGATTTCTTCCCTTGGCATTTTTCTGAACTCAAACCCATTTAATCAAATCAAACAAGAAAATTTGAATGAATTTTTGTTGCACGTAAATAGACGAGGAGTATTAGTACTATATATGTTCATCAACAAAGAAGAAATGAAACATGAAAATTAGTAAACGAAGAATAATAAGAAGAGAGAAAACAATAAAGTGGTTGCCACGATGTGTGTAATTTAAATTAGTTGGCATATGATGAGGTCGTTTTCCATGTCGATCTAGCTATCTTCTCTTCTCTATCAAGGTTGGCGAATTAATATAATGTTCTATGCAACAAATCCAATAATAATGTATTATTTGAAAGCCACGACATGTTTGATGCTTACATGATAATTGAGTATATGGTCTAATATTTGTTTATTTGTGTCCTCTCAACAAATAGATAAACTACCCAATATTCTTTTGAGAAATATGTAGAAAGGATGGTATTGCAACTTCCCAAAATTGACACTCACCTAATCAAGTAATTTATGTGGAAACCCTGCATTTGGTGGAACGTCATAAGAAATTGATGTCTCATGTCACCAAAATTTGGGGTGACATATTGCAGCCTCCTTAGCGTAAAATTTTCTTCACTCCAATGCATAGTGGGACTTCAAGCTATGACATGTAACTAAAGCCGTGGTAGTACCAAAAAGAGATCGCACTACTAAAAAACAGCAATTTACCGACTGAATAATTTCAACCAATTTAATACCGTCATAATTTCTGACTAATTCGGACGAAAAATTTATTAAAAGTACATGTTTTTTTTAAAACTTTTGGCTCCAAATTGCAACTTTTTTCGGTCGCTAAAAAATATTTTTAGGCTTTCCGACTGAATCAATCGTAGAAATTAAAAAAATATACATCTTCAGACCGATTGGTCAGAATTTGCAATAAAAACGAGGTATGACTGGTCAACGAATTTGCGACCGAATCAACGCTACTTGAAAAATTCAAATTTCAAATTGCGACCGATTCGGTCGCAAATCTATTTTTAATATAGCCCCCACCCGTTTTATCTTCTTTCTTCTTTCTTTTCTAGTTTTTTTTTTCCTCTCCTTCCCTCTCCTCTTCTGCCCCCACCCGCTCTATTTCTTGATTTTCTTCTCTAATCTAAGCATATAAGGTACCTTGAAAAG